TGGGCCACCTGCTTGAGTGATATGTCTTTGATTGAGTGTCAAGGTGTTGTGATTTACTTTTGTTTGGCAGCCATGAAATCAGGACGTGATGTATCTGGTAGCATTCAAATCCTCCCTACACATTCCCCACAGCAATCACATTTACAGTGCAATGTAAGCATTTAGGGTTTCATGCATGTAAATATACATATGCTATGCTGAAAGTCTGCTGGAGTCTAAACTTTCCGATCTCATCCCCCTGATCTACCCTCCCCCCACCTCCGATTGGTTTATATGGTTTGGATATCTGTGTTTCATCCAAAATACTAAGGCCTCCACTCCTACTCTCACCCCCACTAACCCTCCTTCAACATTATGGTGCATTAATCTGTTAATTGGGCATACTTATAGCCGTATCCCTTCAATGTTGGGTGTTAGCCACCCCCTCCTTCAGCTCCCCTCAGGGTGACTTAGCTCCCACAGCTATTTTGACCACTGCGCACGGGGACTTTGTGCACCAATGGACCTCAGGGTGTTTTGTCATGTGTTGTCAACAGTGTGCCAGTCCCTGGGACGGGTGGACAGGGTAAGCTTATCCCGGCAGTGGAAAGTCCGCTTGTAGGGCTATCTGCATTTCTTGAAAGAAGCGCTCTGGACTGGAACCCAGCAGGAGGGTGTGAGTTTTTCCCGCTTTGAAAGCCTCAATTTTAAAGGGATGTTATGGACTCTGAGCAGGTCGGCCACTGGTTTCCAATCCCTTCTCCTCCGTAAGGTGCTAGGGGATATATCCTGGTATAGTGACAGGGTTGCGCCCTTGTATGTAAGTTCATGATCCCAGCTATACTGGACAATAGCCTCTTTGGTGGCAAAATAGTGGAACCAGATGATAATGTCTTTGTGCACCTGATCTATCTTCCACTGTTCATTGTGGATGCCTAGGACAATGTTCTTAAAATAGTACTTTGATTTTCTGTTCAGCTGGCCTTCATTAGGTTTTTCCGGCAAGCCGCAGACGAGCGGTTGGAGAGGTCCTCCACTACCATTTCCATATAAATTAGTTGCCCTTCTACCATCGAGGAGTGGGTCACCACTTCATTATGGGATTGGGTCATGGCCTTCAACTAGGTCTCCAAGGCCACAGTGCACGTGCCCAGGGCCTGGATCTCTGCTTTCACTTATCTGGAACCTTGGGAAATCTCCCCAGCCAGGTACGTCTTCACCTCCGCCAGTTTTTGTAGTATTTGGGAGGCATCACTGAGCTGGGAGTCTGGTTGTTCAAGATTGAGGCCGGTGACAGTGAGCTGCATGAGCTGGGCCAGTTGCCATCTTGCTGGGTCTCTGTCATGTGGTAGGCTATGAAGCGATCCACCACGGTTGGCAAATTTATCTGCTGTACTCCTCGTTTTTTTCCATTTCGGTTTAGCTCCGGAGCCCCAGGAGGACATCAAGGTGAGTTTTTCTGGGCACTGTGTGGTGCAATGCAGATTGCTTGTGCTGGATTGCAAGTGGATTTGTGGGAGCCTTTAACCCCTTAATGACCAAACTTCTGGAATAAAAGGGAATCATGACATGTCACACATGTCATGTGTCCTTAAGGGGTTAAACCAAGCAGCCATTGACAGCCAGACCACACCCCCATTGCATTTATTTTGTAATATTGTTTAAACATGTTAGTTAATTTATTAAATTTATATCAACTGAAAAATATCACAGTGAAATATGGTAGCAAAGCATATTATCCTGAGCCGCATACTTTATCTCATTCTACCATCAGATGTTACCATACCACTACACTCATGGACTGTGCTACTGTGTTCTCTTCACATCCAAAAAAAATATATGCTGATTGATCAATGAGCTTAAGTGACTTCTCCTCTTAGTATGATGTGAAGAATGTACTTAGAAACTTTCTGCTTCACTATCCAATCTTAATTGCTTCCATAACTTTTGTAAGGACCCTACACACTCTAAGACATACTCTAAAATGCAAATGCTACTTATTCATTCCCTCTCTCTTCTCACTTTTCCATCTCAGATAGACTCCTTCAGTCATGCTACTCCTCTCTTCCTCCTTGCTTATTATTTCCTTACAACCATTTTGAGCAAAACTGCAGGCATTACAGAAAGATGCTTCACAAACTCGATTCTATCGCTACAGTTTTCTCTTGTTTCTCTGAAAATTATCTCTTCAAAGTTACAGAGCTATGCCCCCATACCAGTTAATTATCATCCTCAATTAGTGATGTACCGAACGGTTCGCAGGCGAACGGTTCCCGGCGAACATAGCATGTTCGCGTTCGCCACGGCGGGCGAACATATGCGCGGTTCGACCCGCCCCCTATTCGTCATCATTGAGTAAACTTTGACCCTGTACCTCACAGTCAGCAGACACATTCCAGCCAATTAGCAGCACAGCCTCCCTAGCAGACCCTCCCACCTACTG